ATCTAAACACTGTAGGTGTTTGAATTCAACTAAACAATCTAACACTGTCTAGCAGTCTATAATATTAGTGGGTTATCCTCAGAAGTTATTGACTTGAGCCTTTTACAGCTCATCATATTAATATGGATTTACTTTATTACCTCATTTTTATACTTTTCTGCTGGATGGTTAAGACCAAGATATAGCAAGACCTATATACCAAGAAATATAACTTTTGTATCTGATAAGATCAGCCAAGTACTCTCAGGATTTATCCTGTAGCCCTATACCACCTTTTGTACATCCTTTTGTCAGTGTCATCCATGAAGATGAGTCATGGCCATTGCTTGACCAATTTGCTCTCTGTGAAAGCTTGAGAAAATGTTTTTTCTCTCCATGTGACTCTCCCCAGGCTGAATCTTCATTGTGAGGTAGTAAGAGGGTAGAAAGTTAACCTAACTGTGGTGTTTAGAAGTGGGCCTTCTGGAGGTGATTAGGATTAGATAAAGCCATCAGTTTGAACACTGATGGCTTTACAAGAAGAGGAAAAGAGACTGGAAGACACATATGGTGTGCACCTGTTTCTAGCTATTTGTCAGGACTCTACCAGCAAAAATACCATCATTATATGTGGGCCCTTGGCCTTGGACCTCCAGACATGGAAACCAAAATAAACCTATGTTCTTTAACATTCTCAGCCTTGTGATATTATTAGCAAACAATGAAGGCAGTAAGCTATGAGATTGTTTATGTTCAACAAAAGCCATATCATAGTGTAGCAATGAATGCCAGGCCTGCTCCTAACAATTCTGAGGCTTAGTTAGTAGTATCAGGCCAGTCTTCAGATGCACAGGTTTATTTCCTCACCCTTCCTTTCCACTTGTGGTCAAGGGCAAGTCATTAGTGATTTTTCAGATTTTCATTATTGCTGTGTTTATGCTGATCTGGCAGTAATACTTAAAGAAATGTGAGCAGATAATGAGATATTGTACAATACCCAACGAGGAATACCCATCATTAAGACTTCCAGGCGTGTGTGTGGAACTTCCTCCATCAGACAGGCCTGGTGTGGAACCCTGCAGCAGAACTCCTTGGAGAGAGACTAGAGGCAAGACCCACCCAGCTGATCCAGGAGCAGAACATCATGCCAGAGTGGCACAGTGGGTTCACCTTCAAGGGCTGCAGCAGGAAGAAGTGGAGCACAGCAGCCAGACCCAAGCCACACCTACATGGACAAGTTTAAATTTGGTAGATCCAGACCTGGTGCTAAGGTAATAACTCTACCAAAGCACTACACCAAAGGTCAGAAGAAAGTGCTATACAAAACAACAACGAGAAGGAGCAAAATGCATTCTCAGGCCCTGAGCCCACCCAGAACAAATGCAGGAGACAATAGTATAGAAGGAATTGGAAATCACACACCTGAAATCTCTGAAGCAAAGAAACAACTGCAGAAAGGTATAGAGGAAATCAGATCAGAAATAATTTCTGAAGTGAAAAAGACATAACTATAATGAAAGAAGTACTAAGCGCTTCTAAAGAAGACACTAACTTAAAAAAATAGAGAATAGAAAAATGATGGAATCCTTGAATGTGCAATATAGGAAAGAAATAGAATACATGAAGCAGATTCAAAGTGATATACAGGAAATTAAAACCTCAATCACAAGCTGGCAAAACCGTTTGAATGAAAGTGAAAATAGACTTTCAGACCTTGAAGATATCATTGCAGCTAGTGAAAAGGTAAGAAAAGATCTCTTAAAACAACTAGGATGCAGGAAAAAATAATTCAACATCTAAAAGACGATGCAAAGATGAGCAATGTAAGACTAATAGGCATCCATGAGAAAGAAGGAGTCAATACAAATGTTATAAAAAGCACATGGGCAGAAGTAATAGCAGAAGACTTCACAAATATTGGGAAACAATCTGACATCCGGGTAACAGAAGCATATAGCACTCCAAATAACATCAACCCAATTAAAGCCACACCCAGATATATAATAATCAAGATTCCATAAATTCAGCACAGGAACAGTATACTAAAAGCCACTAGAGAAAAGAAACAGATCACATTTAAAGAAAAACCCATTAGAATAACAGCAGATTTCTCTTCGCAAACCATCAAGTCAAAAGCATGGAGCAAAGTAGTTCAAGTCTTGCAAGAAAACAAATTCCAACCCAGACTGATATGCCCTGTAAAACTCTCCAAGTTTAATGGAGAGTTGAAATACTTCCATGACAAAGAACAACTAAAGAATTTCATGACAACAAAGCCAACCCTACACAGACTACTAAAAGATAGTCTAGAGAGGGATCAAAATGACCACAACTCCATGAATGAAAATGGAAAGAACCCACCAAATAGGGCAAACAAACATAGGAGAAAAAGAGATAGATGACAGCAGTCTTTCAATTATTCAATTCTTTCAATAATTATTTTGTGTACAACAGCAAAACATTTCCTTTAGCATACTGTACAAATGGACTTCTCCTGCACCCCATTGGTCATAATTCTGTCTGAGTCTACAAGGTGGATACCAAGGAAATAGCAGTAGCTCAGTCCCACAAGTCCACCACATAGTAGACACCTGGACACATCCACCACATACTTGAACTTTGTGTGATGGTCTATCCCCAAACTGTTAGAAGTGCTGGTCATATATTTGCCATTCCAGCATTTTTGTTATGTTTTTTTCTTGGTAATTCTTTACTATGATGAAAACTTTTTCTTAGTTGATATTTTTGTATATTTTAACTTAATCAAAGGCTGTGTGAGTACTCTGACTTGATCACAGATTTGTACATATGATACACTACATTCTGGCCTCTTAGTTGGATTCACAATTTAATTTTTGAATATTATTTCGAAATACTTAATTTTGAATTAATTAACATTTAATTTTCTGAATATTGCTTAATTTTAATTTTTTAAAAATAATTTATACTGTTTCTTTGACTGATAATCTACTTATAAGACATGGTATGATATTTTCTCCTAGTATTTTTTTTTCCTAGTATTACAAACTTTAAAAAGTGTATTTCCATTTTCCATTAACTTTATATTAGTTCTTCCTTGTCTTTTGCATACACACACACACACACACACATATATATATATTATATATGAAAAAATATGTATATAATCTGACATAAGATTGATACTGTTTTCTGGAAATCTTCAATGACCTTTTAAATAGGTTCATCTAATATAACTATATTTTACATAGTCCTGCATAACTACCATTTTGAGAGCTCTTTATTCTTTATCCAGGACCATATAGCAACTTCCCTTGCCTTTTGTTTTTGGCAGAACTGGGGATTGAACTGAGGCCCTTGCACTTGCCAGGGAAGTGCTTATCCCACTGAGCCATCTCCCCAGCTGCCTTCTCTTACCTTTTGGATTGGGTTCTTTGTTATTTTCTATATGCTATGTCTGGAGGTATTAGACTATTTTGAGTCTGTATAACTGGAAAATATTTTACTTTTAGTTCTCAAAGATATGTTTGCTAAGTATAAAATTCAATGAGGACAGATCCTATTTTTTTTTTTCAGTCCTTTGAATAAATAAGTCTAGTTTCTTATCCACTTGCTCTTTTTTTTTCTGATGTAGGATAAGATGCTATTTAATTTTGTTCTTCCATAGCTTTTTTCCCCTATGTATATGCTTTAATGATTTTTTTCTTTACAATTACTTTTGGACAATTTCATTTTTGTGTATCTTGGTATGATTTTATTTATATTTCTTGTGCAAAAGGTTCATTTTTCTTGGGAATGTAGTGGCATAATTCTAACTAAATTCAGGAATTTTAAATCTTTAAAGGGCCGGGGAGATGGCTTGGTAGAATAAGTGCTTCCCTGGCAAGCGCAAGGGAAGTTCAATCCCCGGTTCCACCACCACCACCACCAACAACCACAAAAAACAAATCTTTAAATATTTACTGCCTACCCCCTTCTACTTTAAGAATTCTAATTAAATTATTATACGTTTATTGATTTTGGCATAGAGAGAATTACTATATGACTGATCTATAAACTCTGCTTCATGTTTTAGATAATTTTTATTGTTATATTCATTTGTAAATAATTTTTTTACAATGTGCAATCTATTATTAATCTCATGTATTCATTTCAGAAATATTTTCTAAAATTCAGTGTATACACCTTATATCTATCACATTTCAATATTTGTCTACAATTTTTAATTTGTTATATATTATTGATTTTCAATAAAGTTAATGAGAGAAAAAGAAAAAGGACTTCCATATTTGCTAATTCCTTTAGTCTCTGTAATTAACACAACCATCGTAAGATGTATTTCCCTCATTTTAGAGACCCTAAGTCACACGTAAGTGGTGACACCGAGGTTCACATGATCTCCGATTCTTAATCTAATTTCCCTCTCTCCAACTCTTTTTTCCACGATAAGATTCATGCCTCTTTCTATGTAATAGGCGCTAAACTCTAAAAATGTATTATCTACTAGTGTTATTCTGAGTTTATACCAGGATTTGACCTCTCCTTGGTACAGGAGCAAAAATAGGGGCTAAATTCTCCCTGTGCGGGAGACCTCTGTGCCCTAAGAGCAGCCCAGTTGGGGTTTATTGTGAGTTTACAGTACTATGAGCAAGGTCCCAGTCAGTGACGGCTGTGAGCTTCTCGCGATCCTCCCTCGTCAGGCCTTCCCGCCCGCTCCGCGGGGCGTCCTTAGCAACGGGCGCGCGCTCTCCCAGCCCCGCCGCGCGCGAGGCCGCGGTGCCATCTGCGCCTGCGCGCGGCCGCAACCGCCAGTCAGCTCGCTACCCCGCCCCTCCGTGCCCCCTTCCTCCTCCTCCTCCGCCGCCCGCAGCCAGACGCCAACATGGAGCCTGAGGATCTACCTTGGCCGGGCGAGCTGGAGGAGGAGGAAGAGGAGGAGGAGAAGGAGGAGGAGGAGGAAGAGGAGGCGGCGGCGGCGGCGGCGGCGGAGGAGGAGGAGGAGGAGGAGGAGGTTGTGGAAGGGGAAAAGAAAGAAGAGGAGAAGACGGTGGAGGCGGCGGCGGTGGTGGAGGAGCCAGCAACCTTGGTTGAGATCGTGACGGCGGAGGTGGTGGAAGAGGCGGGGCGGGAGCTGGACCCAGACTCTGACTACAAATTCCAACCCGGGGTGAGTTCTGACGACGAGGACGCAGAGGACCGGGAGGATGAAGAGGCCACGGCTTGGCTGCAGGCGCGCCCCAGAGTTATCTCTCCTCCTCCCCCGCCGCCGATACACAGCTGCGCGCGGAGCGAGCGGACCAGCGCGAAGGTGAGCGGGCGGGAGAGGGGAGCGCGCGGGCCGGGACCGCAGGCGCAGCGCCCGGCTCGCGCCCGTCACCGGCCCTGTCGCGCGCGCGAGCGCCCTCGGAGCAGCCAAGGCCCGGGCTCCTCCGGCGGCTGGCGGGCCGCCCTCCGCCTCGGGCTCTTTCTGGCGAAGACTTGTCTCGTCCTCCCCGCCCCCACCCCGGCTGAGTCCCGGGCCGTTTGAAGTACAACACCTGTTCAGGGAGTACTTACTCCCAGAGCGTATAGTTAAGAAACGCTTTTTTGGAGAAGGTGGGTAGGATTGGACAGCGTGGTTACCCAGGGAATAGTTTGTTGGGAAGATAATAAGCAATTAGTTTCAGTGAAGTGCACGATTCCCCCTGAGGAAATATTGTGGATTATGTACACTCCAGATATAGTTTTGGGGCTCCCTGCCAGCTGAGCTTCTCTGGACCTTGCCTTATATCAGTAAGGGAGTTTCCAGCTTAGAATACCAGACTTAGAATGCAAGAAGCTTGTGATGCAGCTGCAAACAGTCTGGAAAACTGGAAAGCATAAAGTAAATATAGAAGGAGCCGATATGACGTTAGAGCGATTGGATAGAGTAGCGGTGCTCAACTTTGTGGTAGAGCATTTGCTTTCCCTTTGCAAAACCCTGGATTTCCATTCTCAGCAGTGGAAAGTAGGAAACAAAGGGAAAAGGGAAAGGGAAAGAAAAAATGAAGGGAAACTAAAGAAAAAAGGCAAAGGCAAGAAAAAGAAAAGGAACAAATTAGTGCCTCTAGTATTGTTTTTAGCACTTCAGGTACTCAGTATCCATGCTTGGCTAGTCTATCATATTGGATAGACCAGGTAATAGTTAGGTCATAATCTGGTAATGGCTAAAGAGTAGTAGTTTTGTGTGATAAATGTGCCATATGGTACTTAATTCATTGAGCCTATATTATTAAGCGATCACCATATGCCACACATTGGCGCCGGTGGCGGGTGTTTGGTGAACCCAAACAGTTTTTGGTCTCTGCCTTCCTAGTTCACAGAAGAGGAAAATGAGGCAGATAAAATTCAGACTGTCATATAGATAAAAGTAGAACTTCTAAATGCTAAAATGCTAAGATAGCATAGAGTAAGATAACCTGGTCTTGTTAGTGAAGCGTCCTTGAAAATTCAAGACAGGTCACCTAGGCAGAAGGGGTGGGAAAGAGCCTTCTACTTGAGGGAACAACATGAAAAATACTGATGATAGTGAGTGTGGCAATTTTTTAAAAAATAATTTTATTGAGAAACATAGCAATGAGACAGTTTCAAAACAGTTAGTTGGACAGTTTCAATAATTAATACATTGCATATTTTTGTCTTAGTGGTTATTCATTATACAAGATGCAGGCATGATATCCTGTCCACAAACACTATTAGAACAAATCTTTCTATTCATTGAGTTAAGATAATGTAGTTGTAGAGTGTGGCATTTTTAAGGACCCACATGGTGTAAGTACAGATTGCAAGGTGTTGTGTACTATGGCAGGCACTTAGGGCTCTGTTGTTGGGAGTTTTGGAAAGTCAGTAAAAATGTTTTTTTTTTTTTTTTTTTTTTTGGCAGTACCGGGGATTGAACTCAGGCCTTTGCACTTGCCAGACAAGTGCTTATTCTACTGAGCTATCTCCCCAGCCCCCAGTAAAAATGTTTTAAACAAGTAGAAGTCTATGGTAAGATCTGTGTTTCAGAATGTAGCAAAGTGGTCAGCTGTGATAGGGTGGGAACGGGGACTAGCATTAATTATATAAGGGACAAGAGGTAGCCATTTGTCAGGCAAAAGATGATGATATTTGGAATAGGGAAATATTGATGGATATAGGAAAAAATAGACTGATTCAAGAGCTGTTTACTAGGTAAGATTACACTTAATAATGGACTGAATATGGAATGTAAAGTGTCCAGGTGTTAGGTGATAAAGTGAATGCTTTTGCCAATAATGAGATATGGTGTTAATACTGAGTTTATGGTGACGGTAGTGGCTGTGGGGAGTTGATGGAATTGGTTGGGTGAGTGCTAAGATTATGTGTTTGGGTTTAAAGAGTAGAGAAGAAATCCGGGCTTGAGATTTTCAGTTGTAGGTTGTATACTTATAGACCATAATTAAAGCCACATTTTTATTTTTTATTTTTTAGTTTTTTTTGAGATAGGGTCTTGCTATTTAGTTCAGGTAGTCCTTGAACTCATGATATATCCCTGAACTCATGGCAGTTCTCTATTTCAGCCTCTTTGAGTACTGGGATTACAAGTGTGTATCACCATGCCTCGCTCAAGCCATACTTTTGCATAAGGTTTCCTAACTTATTTTGTATAATGACTTCTTATTTGAATAACCAGGAATATTTAAATTCATGTTTTCAGGCCCTAGAAGAGGAATTCCTAAATTAGTCCACTATTTTTTTTTTTTTTTTCCATTTCACAATACCTGGATTGCCCACTTTACCTGTTATTGCACCCAGTGTGAGAAAATTGTCTTGTCAGTAACCTATACGTAGTACAAAAATTTTACTGGTTGAAGCCCAGAGTGTTTTCTTTACCTTGGAATTTTTCTTTTGTTTTAGAGAAATCAGTTATTTTCTTATTTATCTTAAAAAACACATGAATGTATAGATGGTCTTCTGTATTAAAGGTAGTGTTAAAATGACATAATAAATGTTAAGCTAACTTTTCCTTTCACTCACTGATGATGCAAACATTTACTGGCCTAAGCTGTAAAGTGTTTACTTTTTTTTTTTTTTCAAAATTTTATTGATAAACAGCAATGAGACAGTTTTAAATCAAATCAGAAGTACAGTTTGAACAAATAATACACTGCATATATTCAGCTGTAAAGTGTTTAAAAGGAGAAAATGTTCAATTATTCTTACTAGAAATTTATGAGGTATATTTTTTATTTTAGCGCTGGATGTGACACTGTGACCCTTATTTATGCTAGGCACATGTTCTGCCACTGAGCTATACCCTAACCCTGAAATTTTTTGAATTTAGGACTTGGACTAGGACTTTTTTTTTTAATACAGAATCTTGCTATGTAGTTTAGGCTGGCCTTAAACTCAGTAAGTAGCCCAGGGTGGCAATCCTCCTGACCCAAGCAAGCTCCAAAGTGTTGGGATTATTGGTGTATACCACCACATCTGTCTTGTTGTTTAGGATTTAATGCAGTGTAAAATATTCAAAGGATAAGGTAAAATAATAGGATAATCAGTTTCATTCAAGTTAAATGACAAAATTATAGTATTCAATTATTTTCCAGTATATCTCATTTAGGTAACAGCGATGTTGTAGTGGTGACTATAAGGCTAGTAAGCGATGGATGTTAAATTTATAGTGCTGTTGTTGGAGCTGAGCTAAGCTGTGGGACTGTTTAAATGCCAAGCAAAATGTTACCAGTCTAAGTTTAGTCTTTCTAATAGTTTAAGGGAGTAATTTAGAGCTTTTGCTTTTTTGTTTTCATGTAGTCCTGCAGACCATTTAACAGCGGTCATTTCAAACACCACCTCTTGTAATTCCTAAATCTGTACATTTGAGCCATGCTGAGGAAAGTAATTCCGTTCAATGGGTTGTATCACTAGAAGTTCTTGGTCCCCAGCTACCTTACTTATCTTCTTGTAGTTGAGACTTAATACTCAACACCTGTAACTCTAAGAAGAAAAGGTTTATTTTGGCTCACGGTTTGTATAGAGGTTTCATTCCATAATATCAGCTGGCTCCAAGGCAGGGTGGCATGGCAGAGAAGAGACAGCTCTTGGTGTGACAGTGAAAAGCAGAGAGACAGATCAGAGGAGAGACGGAGGGAGAGATCCTTCTAGGTCACTCCCCCAGTGACCCACCTCCTCCAGTCAGGCTTTACCTGCAATATCACAGTTAGCTGTAAACTCAGCAGTGGACGAGTTCACTGCTGAGTAGGTCCACTGCTGAGTAACATGCCTTCATGATCCAAGCTCCTCCAAACCCCACCTATGAACCTAAGAGCTTTAGGGAGCATCTAATCTAGGGAACTATTACTGCATTACAAACCATAACACAAACTTTTGTATTTTGAGACAAGGTCTCCCTGTGTAGTCCAGTCCAGGATAACCTTGAGCTCATAGTGGTGTTTGTGTCACAGCCTTCTTAATGCTGGGGTTGCAGGCCTGTGCCACCACACTGTGAAACACCAACTTTTGACCAAGTCATGAACAGTGCTTGGAAGGCTTTGTTTCCTCTGTTAGCTCCCAACCCCAGTGTGCATTGTTTCCCCACTCTGCAGGTTACTGTTTCACAGGAGAGGGTGAACACAGGTCATAATCCTTCACCTTGTCAATTTTATGCAATTTTCATAAAAATACTAGGATTGTTTTTCAATCCCTGAAACAGTTAAAGCATATAGGAGGTTTTTTTCCCCATGTTTGAAAAATATCATCCATGAAACTACTGTGTCTCTGGATTCCTTTTAGGGTTGTAGTCTTCTCTACATAAACATTTTTATTGAGTTAATTTTGGTAATTTATGATTTTCTAGAATTGAGCAGGGATTTATAGTTAATTGTAATAGAGAATATACAATATTCTTTATTTTTCAATTTATTTGTAATGTTCTCATTCCTAATTTTGTGTAATTTCATTTTTTTTCCTTAACTGATTGGGGGTTTATTTCATTTATTTTCGCCCAAGGAAATAGTTCTGGGTTTAAATTTAATTTTGTTTCTTTCCTTTATTTTCTTTGCAATGCTGAGGATTGAACCCACACCCTTGAGCATTCTAGGCAAGTATTCTACCACTGAACTACATATTCAGCCCACTTTTCTTTTTTAAAAATTCAGTAATACAGTTTTCATCTTTCACTCTTTCCTTAGGCTTAGTTTGATTTCCTTTTTTTTTTTTCTTCTTGTTTTGAGTGCTTAATTGGCTTATTTAAAAGCATTTTAACAGCTTTAGTGATACATAATTCACATACCATACAATTTACACCATTCAGTGGCATTCAGTGGTGTT